TCCTGCTGACAACACAGACTTGGCTCTCTCTACTTATGCAAGGACTGTGGGGACTCGTAGTAACATCCCTGGTCCCCCATATTTCCACAGGCCAATGAGTTTAACCCCCTCATTGGCCTCTGTAAATGGACAGGTCCACCTGTTGGGCAGGTTACCAACTTTCTGACAGACTGGAAGCAGCAGGTGAGGCTGGAAAAACTTCCACCCAGACAATCATTACAGACACCAATGACTCCACCTCAGAGGTACTCTCTGTAAAGCTCCTGAAGTTCACATGGACTAGCAGCACTGCATCAGCAGTAGAGTCCTTCAGGCTTCTGGGCTCCACTATCTCCCAGGACATGAAGTGGGCGTCCAAGATCAGCACCATCACCAAGAAGCCACAGCAGAGGATGTACTTCCTGCTCCAGCTCAGGAAGTTCAACCTGCCCCAGGAGTTGCTGATCCAGTTCTACAGAGGAATCATCGAGTCTGTTCTCTGCTCATCCGTCACTGTCTGGTTTGGCTCAGCAACCAAACAGGACAGGGACAGACTCCAGTGACAGTCAGGACTGCAGAAAGAATCATCAGTGCCAGCCTGCCCTCCATGGAGGACCTGTCACACCTGGGACATAATCTGTTTGAACTCCTCCCCTCTGGATGGCGTTACAGGTCACTGTACGCCAAGACAACCAGGCACAAGGACAGTTACTTCCCCCGGGCTGCCACTCTGATCAACACTTAACCCATATTTTTATGTATAACAAGATACAGCAAACACCTCAGTGCAATAACTTATAGATGTGACCATTGTATGTACATACCAAATAGTTTTTTTTTTGTTTTTTTTTTACTTGTATATAGGATACACATTTAGATTAGATTAAACTTTGTCATGTACAAGTACAAGGCAACAAAATGCAGTTTATCATTAACCCTAATACCCAACATCTAACCAGAAGGGCAATAACAGCAGTGCAGAGTGCGCAGTATCTACAGTCTGTACAGTCAACAAATTTACCGATAGATATGTACAATCAATAGTTACTCTGTTATATAAGGCAATATACAACAGACTTTATGGATTTAAATTACAAATAATGGATAAAATGCATTAAGCTTATAAAACACTAATGCAATGGGATGAGGTGGAATGAAACAGTGCAGAACAGGAAGATAAGTTAAATGATTTAACAGTTCACTGGCTGTAAATAGTGCAAAGATAAATATACAATATTTATCAATAGATTGTTGATATTCTCTTTGATTCTATTTTGCATTCTATTATATTTGGTGCATACTGGGGGCCAGATTCCTTGTATTTTAATATACTTCACAATAAAGATTATGATTGATTGATTGATTGATTGATTGGTTTAACAAGTCTGACAGTTTCCCAGTCAACTCACCACCAGGTGGTGATCAGCTGATGAAATGCATCTCAAACTTCTCCTGAGTCATGTAAAAAGTCAAATTTTAGTTGGTGTCTCTTGATTGCACTTTTGATGCTGTCTGATCCACACTGATGTGGGAACTGATGTTCAGCAGCTTCACACTCTCCGTGTCTCACCATTGAACTCTCACATGCGGTTTGTCTATGAGGAGCTGTTTTCTTTAACCGTGGTTGTCAGAAAACCTTTGTTCCCTTTTTAAGTCCTGTAAACTGTGATTTGACTGATGGATTCAAGAGTTTGTAATTTTTGTGTATACTACAGGTACTTTATGGCTCTCATTCAGGAAATGGCGGTAAAGCTCGATCAGGGTTTCCTTGGAGCCATATTAGCTGTGTTGACACCTGCTGCTGACACACAGGCCCACAGACTAAAGGTAGAGCCAGGCAGCAGATTGACTTTTCAGCCCTCTGACACACAAACAGCACACAGAGGGTTAATATCAGACACGTTTGAGCTGTTGTTTGTATTTCAGACTGGACTTATAGAGAGAGATCTGCAGCTGCTGGAGGCTGAGCTGATGGAGGCATCACTCACCGATACATCAGGACTTAGTTTCTTTGAACATTTCCACATCTCACCCATCAAGGTGAAGAGTCACACAGTTTAAACCTCTTCTTTTTGACCTCTGTAAATCCTTAGACTGTTCACTCTGCTTCCAGCCAGTTCTCAAGAAAGGGAAATAACCTGAACTGGTTTTGAACTGTGCTCTATTTTTGTATTTTATGTTTCAGCTCCATCTAAGTTTGTCTCTGGGCTCCAGCGGTGAGGACTCGACTCAGGAGGTGGCAGCTGTTCAGTCTCTCAATCTGCTGCTGAAAAGTATCGGCGCCACACTGACCGATGTAGACGACCTCATCTTCAAGTGAGAAACTTGCTGCTGGTCAAAGTGCTGTAGTTGAGTTTACAGAGATGCATTCTGGGTGATAAAGATGCTGCAAAGCTACTCTTTCTTTCATTAAAGCTATATTTTAGAAGTGAAAACTTCAGTCTCAACTCTGTAGTCACAGGAAAAGGAAGCACTTGTTGCTTTGCTCTGCCAAAGTAAAAGTTGCTGTTATGTTCCATTTTGTTTGGTGTGAAGTTCATTCTCTGAGTTTCCTGTGTTTGGGTCTTTGTCAGGCTGGCCTTCTTTGAGGTGACGTACCAGTTTTACCACAGAGAGAAGCTGATGCGGGCGGTGGTCCACCACTACACTAAACAGGTAACTTATTGCCTCCAGGCATCATAGAGCATTTCTCCTCTTTATCCAGAGGTCTTGTTCAGGTCTTCCCTCCTTGGTTATTTGGTATCTATAAGTGATTGCTGCATTGGACTGTATACACTACACCAGTGGTTCCCAAGTTATGAATGAATTTTTAATTTACTGTGTCAATACTTTGTACACACTCATTTTCCAATTCGGAGGCAAATCCTATAGCCTAAAAGACCCACCTCAAGTTAGCTAATGCTAATATGGTGTCAAGAAAGCTGAAGAGGCACTTGGAAACCAAACATCCCTTCAATGTTGAGAGAGACATGCATGAGATCTGCACCAGAGGCAGATAGTCGGTGCTATTCACCTCACCTGCCAGTGGTCAGAATGTTATGGCTGATCGGTGTATGTTAGCGGTGTTTATTGCACAGTAGACGAAACCTCACACAGTAATGGAGACACTTATCATTCCTTTTTGCAAAATGCAGGTGTCATGCTAGGTCCAGATGCCGTACAGATGTGCTCTCTTCAATAGCACCAAGGATGTAAAAAAAAAAAAAAAAAAAATCTGTGAGCAATGACAAACATGTGTCTCATTAGCTTGTAAGTAGAAAATTTTTTGCAATAGCAAATATTTATATGCTGATTCAATGTGAATGAATCAGGGGGTGAATGTGGACAAAACAAGACTTCACCTGCCTTTGACTTAACACTTCTAGTTATATTGTACATATTCTTAATGTTTCCCTTTTAGTCCTGCTGATCATAAGGACATTCAGCTGTAAAATCACATAAATAAAACCAGAATTTCTTAATGTTTGAACAGTGTCACACTGCTTGTGTTGTCTGTTATTGTTCTGCTGCTCGGCTTCATCTGTATTCAGTCCCGGACAGTTTTCCTCTTCATGCTTCGAAGAGCAAAGCAATCTGAACCTCACTGTGGTCGGACATTCATCCTGTAACAGGTTGAGACTAGGCTTCATTCATAAGGAACATCTAAAGTTGTTTTCTGGCTGCAGTTCCTGAAGCAGATGTACGTTCTTGTTCTGGGTCTGGATGTCCTGGGAAACCCCTTTGGACTGATCCGAGGTTTGTCTGAGGGAGTCGAGGCCTTCTTCTACGAACCTTTCCAGGTAAGCCACACATAGGGTGAGCCCTGTATATAAAGTTGTCTTCACATGTCCTTTTCGCAGAGTTATGGAGACAAGTGTCAGTGTTTATTTGTCATATGTACAGTTAGGAAACGTGTTTCCTTGAACAATGAAATTCTTACTTTGCCGTCCACATGAATGACAGACACAAGTGAAATATAAAGTAGATGAGCAATAGCACAAATCTAAATAGGCAGTAAAATCACAAATCTAAGGCACTTTAAAGCAGCAAGTGAAGGAAGCAAATACAAATACAAGAACACAATATAATGCAAAGAGAATATATGCTATGTGGGAGCTGTGGAGTGTAAATATTCAGCAGTGAGTGTGCAATTATGCATGTGCAAACTGAGTATGTAAACAGTACAGATGGAATTACATGAGGTAGATCCTGAGTCAGCTGTTTAGGAGTCTGATGGCAGTTGGAAAGAGTTTTTCCAGTCTAGAGGTCCTGCATTTCACACTCGAGCCTCTGACCGGAGGGTAGAGGTATAAACACTCCGTGCGGATGGAGGCAGCTTTCCTACGCACCCTGCCTTCCTGCCTGGCAGGACACCAGGATTGTGCCAGTCCTGGTGATCTTCTCTGCAGTCTTTACCACTCTCTACAGGCCCTTGCTGTCCATAGCAGTAGTGCTGCCATACCAGACAGACAGCTGATCAATATGCTCTCAACGATGCAGCTGTAGAAATTGCAAAGGATCCTAGGTGACATGCCAAACCTCCTCAGCCTCCTCAGGAAGTATAGCCACCGTTGGGCCTTATTGACCAGCTGTGTGGTGTTAAGTGTCCAAGTGAGGTTCTCATTGATGTGGGGGACTAAGGGGGCAACTATGGTTCAGTGGGTATAGAGCGGTTGTCTCCCAGCCAGAGAGTTGGAGGTTCGAATCACAGTGCCTGCAGTCCACATGTCAAAGTGTCCTTGGGCAAGACACTGAACCCCCAAGTTACCCCCGATGGTTAGAGCCATTGGTGTGAGTTGGCGCCGCAGATGGCTGCCTTGGTTCTGCCTGTGGAACATAGACTGTCAATAAAATGAACATGTTTGTATTTGTCAGGGAGCTGTTCAGGGTCCAGAGGAGTTTGCTGAAGGGTTTGTGATTGGAGTCCGCAGCCTATTGGGTCACACTGTTGGTAAGAAACACAAACCACAACACCGATTAAAGACAAAAGCACCAAAATGAATGTAAGCACAATGAACTGTTAGTTGCTGTTATCACTTCTCATAAAACGTTTTATTCAGTCGGTTACTGTGTTCATAATTTGCATATATACAATGGTTATGGTGGCACACTTCCCTCCAGCATGCAAAACATGAAGCTAAAGTATCATGAATATCGCAACTCCCATCTTGCTTTTTTGCAACCAGATTCAGTACAGTGGCCACCTGAAGTAGAGTGACAGCATTGGACCTCCAATCAAAACCGTCAAATTAACTCGAATTATACCTCAGTCAGATCACCTTTCTTTGTTCCTCATTCCCAATTACTCACCACTCATTCGCCGTGTGAAGCCATCAACGAGGAGCATCAAAGTTTGGCCAGAGGGGACAGACTCTGTACCACAGGACAGGTTTCACCACACAGACTGGAGTATGTTTGCCTCCTGGTCTACCTGTGACTCTCACACGGACATTGACACCTACACTTCCTCTGTGCTGGACTTTATTAACACTACCACTGACAGTGTCACAACCCAGAAACAGATCACCACGTACCCAAATCAGAAGCTGTGGATGAACAAGGAGGTGTGGCCCCTGCTGAAGGCACACAACTCTGCCTTCAGATCTGGTGATGCACAGGCCTACAGCTTATCCAGGGCCAACCTGAGGAGGGGCATCAAGTGGGCCAAGCACCACTACAGGCTAAAGGTTGAGGAACACTTCACAAACTCTGACCCCCGTTGTATGTAGAAGTGCATCCAGGTCATCGGTGACTACAAGCCCGGCAACTCCACCCCGACAACCACAGATGTCTCCTTCCTCAATGAGCTAAATGACTTCTAGGCTTGCTTCGACTGGGACAAACAAGGAGACAGTTATCAAGTCCAGACCCTCTGCAGACCACCAGCCACTCACACTCGCCTCCACTGACGTATATGCTGCTCTGAGCCAGATCAACGTACGCAAAGCTGCTGGCCCTGATGGCATTACTGGACACGTGCTCAGGGCATGTGCAGGACAGCTTGCTGGTGTCTTTACTGACATTTTTAAACTGTTCCTTGCCCAAGCAGTTGTGCCGACACGCTTCCACCTCCATTGTGCCAGTGCCGAAACATTCCACCCTGACGTGCCTGAATGACTACCGCCCTGTAGCACTCATACACATCGTCATGAAGTGCTTTGGGCGCCTGGTCCTGGCACACCTGATGACCTGTCTCCCACCCACACTGGACCCCACCAATTTGCCTACCGCCGGAATATGAGCACGGAGGATGCAGTCTCCATAGCACTGCACTCTGTACTCAGACACCTGGACAACAACAAACAACACTTATGCAAGAATGCTGTTTGTGGACTTCAGCTCAGCATTAAACATTGTCAACCCCTCCAAGTTAACCACCAAACTTGGAAACCTGGGCATCAGCACCTCCCTCTGCAACTGGATTCTGGACTTTCTGACCAACAGGCCTCAGCATGTTAGGTCAGACAACACCTGCTCCTCCACCATTATCTTCAACACCGGCGTACCGCAGGGCTGTGTGCTGAGCCCATTCCTCTACTCCCTTTTCACCCACGACTGCAGGCCTGTGCATGGCTCCAACACCATCATCAAATTTGCAGACAACACCACGGTGATCGGCCTCATCAGCCTACAGGGACGAGGTACAGCACCTGGCTGTGTGGTGCACTGACAATAACCTGCTACTTAACACCAACAAGACCAAGGAGCTCATTGTGGACTACAGGAGGGAGAAAGGAGGCACAAACGACCCCATCCATATTAACAGGATGGTTGTTGAACGTGTCTCCAGCTTCAAATTCCTGGGGACCCACATCTCAGAGGACCTGTCCTGGACCACCAACACCTGCAGCCTGGTTAAGAAGGCCCACTAGCGCCTCTTCTTCCTGAAGAAGAACCGCCTGTCTTCAGCCATCCCGGTGAACTTCTACCGCTGTGCCATTGAGAGCATCCTAACCAGATGCATCACAGTCTGGTACGAAAACTGCTCTGTCTCCGACCACAAGGCGCTGCAGCGGGTGGTGAAAACTGCCCAACTCATCACAGGGACTCCACAGGGTGTTCACAAACTGTTTGACCTCCTGCCCTCTGGGAGGCGCTTCAGGAGCCTCCAGACCAAAACCAGTAGACTCAGGAACAGCTTCTTCCCCACAGCTGTCTCCTTACTGAACTCTGTCCCCCGTTGACCCCCCACTGCCTTCCTCTATACCATTGCACGAAAACTGCTCTGTCTCCGACCACAAGGCGCTGCAGCGGGTGGTGAAAACTGCCCAACTCATCACAGGGACTCCACAGGGTGTTCACAAACTGTTTGACCTCCTGCCCTCTGGGAGGCGCTTCAGGAGCCTCCAGACCAAAACCAGTAGACTCAGGAACAGCTTCTTCCCCACAGCTGTCTCCTTACTGAACTCTGTCCCCCGTTGACCCCCCACTGCCTTCCTCTATACCATTGCGCACACACCTCACCCCTTCTCATCTCTCCTCCGGGGACTAATGCAATACACTTATGTTACCTGTAACACTGAAGTGATTTGTTAATTTGCACATACTCTACTCACAGAATACTGCTCTGTTCTTCATATGCTGATACTGTATATTTATCTTTATAAAATATCTTTTGCACTATTTGCATCCATTGAACTGTTCACTCGTGTAACTTATCTTCCTATTCTGCACTGTTTCATTCCATTTCATCCCATTGCACCAGTGTTTTATAAGATTTATGTACTTTATCCATTATTTGAAATGTAAATCCATAAAGTCTCTTGTATATTACCTTATATATACTGTAACTTATATATAACTCTTACCTGAAAAATGACCACTTGTGTGATAACATCTACCAAAAACCATAGAAGTGACCTCTCAGAGGAGAGAAAATATATCTGATTTGCACTTTGAGTTCTTAGTTTGGCTCATGTCCAATCCACTAACATGGAGGAGGCAGGATTGATGACCTGTACTACATGATGTCCGTATTGCTGAGTTAGCATGGCTTTGGTCTGAAAATGGTGTTATAAAATTAACATAATTTGTTTGTGTGCAGTTAGAAAGAGGTGAGCTGACACATTAGCTAGCGTTAGCATGACACACCACAATCTACCATCCAACTGCCAGAAGTTCAGGTGCACTATGGGTAATGTCACCACCAGTTTTTGAGGAAGAAGACTTTTTGTAATAAAAGAATATCTGTGGTTCTGCTGCATTGATTCTGATCCTTTGTTAAAACTGTCCAAATTTATCTGACTGTATTTTGATGAATCTGAGGGGCACTGTTTTAATGGCTGATTAGGTGACAGTTGGCAAACACACTGAATTGGAGCTCAGGGATCAGTGTTGTCAGCTGATTGTTTTCTCCTCCTGACACTCTGCAGGTGGCGCTGCAGGTATGGTCTCCAGGATCACTGGTTCAGTGGGTAAAGGGCTGGCAGCCATCACCATGGATAAAGAATACCAACAGAAACGACGAGAGGAGATGAACCGACCGCCCAAAGACTTTGGAGAGAGTCTGGCTAAAGGAGGAAAAGGACTGCTGAAGGTATAAAGGGGCTGGTCCTGGGTTCAGACACTGATGTCATTTTGACAAACAGTCAGGTGATATGGCCTTATGTCTCTGCAGGGGGTTGTCGGTGGATTTACTGGCATTGTCACCAAACCTATGGAGGGTAAGTGTTTCTCTGCTACTATACCTCAATACTGATTTAAACATGGACTTGTCATCAGGAAATACATCTTCATAGCACATTTTAAAAATACAGGCATTGACCAAAGTCCTTTAAAAATGTTCAGATACATTTAAATAACAGTAGAATGACTAAGGTAATTATTTACCTTCATGGCTTAAGATCTGACATCCCAAGTTTGAAGTCAGCCATGGATGTTTCTTTTCCATTTCTCCTGTTGTCTCTGCTTTCTCTAATAAAGGCATGAAAATGCACAAAAACACCTTAAAAATACAAAACACTGGCGAGTCTGATTAGAGGATCTGAGGGGCCTGGATGTAGTGACTGAGGAGATTAGACATGTCAGCTCCTCCCTCACTTTTTTTGAGAGTGTAGAAGAAAAAGTACAGGTGTTTTTCTCCTTGAAGTGTCTGTGAACATAGTCGTGGCAGTTTAGCCTCCATAAGAGAGAAGCTCTGTGCACTAGAATGACAGTAGACTGCTCAGAGTTTCTACGCTTTACAGTCAGAGCAATCTGAGATGAGGTCTAAACTGTCCTACCTCTGTCCTCCCGTTTGTCTCTGTCTTCTGTTTGCAGGAGCGAAAAAGGAGGGGGCGGCAGGTTTCTTTAAAGGCATTGGTAAAGGCTTGGTGGGCGTGGTTGCCCTTCCGACAGGCGGCATCGTGGACATGGCCAGCAGCACCTTCCAGGGCATCCAGAGGTAGAGTTGACAAAGACTTATTTCAGCCTTCACTACGTGTGCTTTTGTTTTCTCAGATAGTTTCTGTGTGACTCTCTGTACTGGTTTATTTCCAGTATTTTGCCTAATTAAGAACTTCCTGTGTTGTCTATGAGCTTCATAAGGTGTTTGTTGTCCCCTCTGCTCATCTTCTGGTCTGCTCACTAATTTTCACAATTTCTGCTTTTTCTGTTGCTGTTGCCTAGGAGTTTTCTTCTTTCCTTTTCTTGTTTTGTTGTGAGAGTATTTCACATGAAACTTATTAAAGCTGAGCTCCTTCATCACTGCTCATGTGAAGTCATCTGACTGTCTGCAGTGTTTCCCACACATAGACTTTACATGGGTGGGCCACACGGGTATGTTAACAGCTGCCCAAGTATATTTGGCCATATCTCTCTGAGAGAACGATACATCTCCGAACAATTCACTAGAGGATCATTTCCTCTTGTGCTTGATCTATTTTATCATTATTTTAAATTGAGTAAACTCTTATTTCATTGTAGAGCTGTGCTTTGATTGGCTCAGCTGTTCCATGCCCCCTCTCACACACTGACAACAGACCGTCTGTGAACTTCTCCTCCTCTTCTAATCTTTGTTCTTAACATGGCAGTTGTCAGTCACAGAGATCCAGCCCTTCGACGTTATTATTAACAAGCCAGTGAGGATAGCTAAGCTAACATTTGAATTACTTACAGTTGTGCTGCCAGTGTTAGCACGCTGTATAGGAGCTTGTTAATACTGACTGCTCTGCAAATGTGTAATGTTAACATAGTAAAGTCTGATGCTTAATGTTTGCTCCTTAACTCCAGAGGAACATTGAAAAATGCTTTCCTAGACTCAATTGTCCTGAGGAGGCACAGACAGTCTGGACCAGAGTCAATTTTAGAAATTTATGAAAACGCGTGGGAAAGATGAAGACTCCAACCAGTGCAATTAGCAGTGGGACAGCCAGCTAAATCAGATGAACAACACAACAGCAACAAGCACAGAGGCACTGTAACATTACTGTATTTAAATGAGGTTCAGGAGCAAGTTGCTGCTCAGTATCTGTTTGATTATAATCATAAAATCTGATCTGGATTCATCTCAGCAGCTCATATCCAGATAAAAGCAGTGACATGTAGGAGCTGAGTTTCAGCACTTTGTGTGTTTGTGTGTTGTTGACAACTGGCAGCAAGCAGATGGATGGTAAGTTGCTGCATCGTGTCACTAATAAAAACTTTGTCCATCATGTTCTGAACTCATTCATGCTCGTAACGTCGTCCATCACACTAACGCTGCTACTAGCCCCTCCCCTCTGTAAGCCCTGCCCCCAGCTTGTTGCAACATCGTGAGGCTGTGCCCCTGAGGAGAGTCAGCTGAGCTGCGGGTGGGGATGGGATGGGGGAATCAGATGATGACAGTTTGATGCATCAGCTGCATCTCTTCTTTTTCAAGTTAGAGCATCTCAAAGTCTGGCATCACCAATAAATCCTCAGGATTCAGCAGTCAGTATCCTCAACAACCGATCAGCTGCTATTTCAGTGGTTACCAAACTTTGTATACCACACTACCTCTCATCATGATTTTTTTCTGTATAGCTCCTCCCTTCCTCTGCTGTGTACCTGGAAACATTTTGTGATAGGAAGGCACTGCTGCTAACATGCTTGGTTTAGGTCTGAGATTGAATTACCAGTCAGCCTTACATTTCTACATGTCAGATGTGCTTGGTCAGGTTGGCTCTAGTCTCCATGATGAAAGCTGCAGCATGAGCTCGGTTGGTTTCAATTAATTTAGGTTAACAGACCCAGACAGAAACTAAACCACAATAGTCTGCACTCAGATCTGCTCATATGACCTAACCCCTTTGACATTACATCTCTTATGAAACAGACTGACTGCTTTGTGTTCTTATGCAGCTGCAGTACACCGTAGTAGTAGTAGTAGTAGTAGTAGTAGTAGTCAGTACACTGAATGTGTTGACCAGCAATAAACCTCCAACCTCATGTGCAAAAAATAGACTCAAAATATTCCACTGGCTAGCTACTGGTAATGTTACATCTGGCTTTACAACCACCTGATAGTCGTGACAACAGTGACAACTTCTGCACATCTTTGCAGATACCTGGCCAGTAAACATGATGGCGAACTATGGCCAGTGTTTTCTTTGCTCCTATGTGTTCTCCAAACAACGAGTCATAAGCTAGACTCGACACCTAATGCTCACAAGTGTTCCAGTCTGCATCAGCTGGTCATGTACAGTGCCTTGCGAAAGTATTCGGCCCCCTTGAACTTTGCGACCTTTTGCCACATTTCAGGCTTCAAACATAAAGATATAAAACTGTAATTTTTTGCGAAGAATCAACAACAAGTGGGACACAATCATGAAGTAGAACGAAATTTATTGGATATTTCAAACTTTTTTAACAAATAAAAAACTGAAAAATTGGGCGTGCAAAATTATTCAGCCCCTTTACTTTCAGTGCAGCAAACTCTCTCCAGAAGTTCAGTGAGGATCTCTGAATGATCCAATGTTGACCTAAATGACTAATGATGATAAATAGAATCCACCTGTGTGTAATCAAGTCTCCGTATAAATGCACCTGCACTGTGATAGTCTCAGAGGTCTGTTTAAAGCGCAGAGAGCATCATGAAGAACAAGGAACACACCAGGCAGGTCCGAGATACTGTTGTGGAGAAGTTTAAAGCCGGATTTGGATACAAAAAGATTTCCCAAGCTTTAAACATCCCAAGGAGCACTGTGCAAGCGATAATATTGAAATGGAAGGAGTATCAGACCACTGCAAATCTACCAAGACCTGGCCGTCCCTCTAAACTTTCAGCTCATCCAAGGAGAAGACTGATCAGAGATGCAGCCAAGAGGCCCATGATCACTCTGGATGAACTGCAGAGATCTACAGCTGAGGTGGGAGACTCTGTCCATAGGACAACAATCAGTCGTATACTGCACAAATCTGGCCTTTATGGAAGAGTGGCAAGAAGAAAGCCATTTCTTAAAGATATCCATAAAAAGTGTCGTTTAAAGTTTGCCACAAGCCACCTGGACACACCAAACATGTGGAAGAAGGTGCTCTGGTCAGATGAAACCAAAATCGAACTTTTTGGCAACAATGCAAAACGTTGTGTTTGGCGTAAAAGCAACACAGCTCATCACCCTGAACACACCATCCCCATTGTCAAACATGGTGGTGGCAGCATCATGGTTTGGGCCTGCTTTTCTTTAGCAGGGACAGGGAAGATGGTTAAAATTGATGGGAAGATGGATGGAGCCAAATACAGGACCATTCTGGATGGAAACCTGATGGAGTCTGCAAAAGACCTGAGACTGGGACGGAGATTTGTCTTCCAACAAGACACTGATCCAAAACATAAAGCAAAATCTACAATGGAATGGTTCACAAATACACATATCCAGGTGTTAGAATGGCCAAGTCAAAGTCCAGACCTGAATCCAATTGAGAATCTGTGGAAAGAACTGAAAACTGCTGTTCACAAACGCTCTCTATCCAACCTCACTGAGCTCGAGCTGTTTTGCAAGGAGGAATGGGCAAAAATTTCCGTCTCTCGATGTGCAAAACTGATAGAGACATACCCCAAGCGACTTACAGCTGTAATCGCAGCAAAAGGTGGCGCTACAAAGTATTAACTTAAGGGGGCTGAATAATTTTGCACACCCAATTTTTCAGTTTTTTATTTGTTAAAAAAGTTTGAAATATCCAATAAATTTCGTTCCACTTCATGATTGTGTCCCACTTGTTGTTGATTCTTCATAAAAAATTACAGTTTTATATCTTTATGTTTGAAGCCTGAAATGTGGCAAAAGGTCGCAAAGTTCAAGGGGGCCGAATACTTTCGCAAGGCACTGTAGGTGGCCTCCATTTTCTAAATAACACACCATCATGGATAAAAGTGAATTTTAGCATTTCTTTGGCTACCTGCATGGTCAGTGCTCCTTCCAACACATGTTGTAAGCAGGGATCCTCTTTATGCTTATGCACCAAAGACTCACAGTTCAGAGGAAATTAATCCAGCCCTATGCTCTCCTCTTCTGTCTTTTCCTAATTTTCTTGTGCTCATCCTGCTTCACTCAATTTTCAGTTCCAGTCTCATCACATGATTCAGGATCTACTGGCTGCTCTACCACTTTCTGCTCTACTTCACCACCTCTGACCCTGTCTAGGGCACGAGTGACCGCACATGTAGTAAAAACTCAACATCAAGCTCCCTCAGTTCACAAGAATCTCCTGACTGATCACTAACCATCAAAGTCACTTTATTTCTGCTATCTTTCCTCAGAAGTAAATCTATGGAATGGAATGGAAGATGTGGTGCCTCATCTACCTGAACCAGTCCTGTCTCCTTGAACTACCACAAACTGTCCAGTAAAACTAGCCCTATTCTCCCTCAAGATGGTGGCTGTGCTATGGTACCATTGGATATAAAACCCTTCTGTCCTTTCAACTCATTCACTGTCCTCTGTTCTACTGAGACAGGGCCTACAGACTTAGGAACATTCTTCCTACCAGTCAAACATGGACACTGATCTTTTTAACCTATGACACCAATAACAGAATTTCTCCAGATGATGTCCGAGTCCTAAAGCAGAGAAACACCAAACTCACGGTCAGCCATGAGCCACCTTTGGACCATCGGTGAGTCTCTGACGGGGCTCATTTTCCCAGTGTACCCTAGGCCATTGACACCAGCTGAATCCTGTCTGCGATTTTTCGGCCAGTTCGGCATCTTGAATCAGTGTCAGGCCGGTCGGGCTTTGTCGGCAAGAAAGACCACTCTGATTGGCTGTTCAGCTCAGTGAATCGATGCATGAGAAGACAACAGTTCAGGAAAGCTCCTTCAGCCTTTCACTCATCTAGTGCAGTTTCTCCTTGTTTTTTGCTTCCACAACCTCCTTTCATCTTCACAACCAAAAGACCAAGGGCAGAGCGTCATTTGCAACTTCTTCTCAGAAAAATTCTTGATTTGAAGCAGCTATAAACAGCATATGCATTGTATGACAGCTGCTTTATATATATCTTGTAGTTCCACTGTCTAGCTCTTCTTTCCTTTTCAGAATGGCAAATACATATACTGCCACCTGCTGGGGGAGTTTCTGTCATGCAGGTGCAGTATGTACGTGCTAGTTGGCCGTTGGCTGTCATCTGTGGTGTGGTCAGGTGCCACTTTTTCAATCCAACTGGCCCAGACAAAGACAACGAGAGGTGACACAACAGTCAGCCCATTTCGCTGCTCGTTCTTTCACAGCGTGGCGTGTCTCTGCCTGAAAAGGAGCCTTTGAGATTGTTTCCCTGGTTCAAACTGACAGGAACCAAAATTCCTCTGCTCCTTGTGAGGAGACCAAGGACCACTGCCTATTTGTTTTGTTTGGTGACCTTTTTTAGCCCAGTTCCTAATCTGTCTATGGGCTACTTCATATTTATCTGCTGACTGATCTACACGACTAACTAGCTCTCATTCATTCAAGTAAATTTCATCCTCTTTGGGAACTCTGAGTTTTAATTGTTCTGTTAAGAATAACTCCTTCACCTCCTGGTAACCATAGGCTTTACATGAACTAATACATTCCTTTTTCTCTGCTACACCAGGCTGTCTCAACTACCATTAGCCTCCAGTACTGCTTTCCTGTGCTCATCATATTGTGATCCTCCTGTAGCCTAGGCTGCTGCAGCACACTGAGCTTTTCTAGTCAGCAATGCCTCTGGCAAGTCACTATCTTTAGCTGCTTTCTCAAACCTTTCAAAGAACAGATTTATTACAGGTTCATCAAAGGCAGACGTTGAAATTTGGGAGTGGGAATGAGCCTTTGTGACTTACAATTACCCATAAGGCCCTTCTCTTCATTAGCCGCACAGAGACTTAAATCCATCTTCATCCGGTCTCTGATTGGCTGACTAAATGACAAACTGATGCTGAGTTTGGCAACTTTCTGATTAATGTTGTAGAGAAACACTGCCTACCACATTGTTTGTTTGGTGCAGGGCTCCTGTGGACATTTGCTAAAAGCTACATGAAAGGCATTTGTTCACTTTTCTTTTGGGATGTTAGTAGAAGTTGAAGAAGACTCAGGACCTAAGAGTTTCCCAGTTCAGGCAATTTACTTAACGAGCTCGGGTGAACGTTGTACCATATTATGATGCTGTAGTGTGCAATCTTCACAAAGAATTGGTTGGGTTTGGCTTGTACTTATGCTGGCAAGATAAATTCCTGGCATCTACATTCTAATTCTAGCCTATCCTAGTTACATTTATTGGCGTGTCTAAATTGGTGTAGCACCTTATACAGAGGCTAAAATGCAGGCTTTGAGGCTCCATGGAGCGTTGTTCAGCATAGGAGAATGGTTATGGTACAACACACATACACAATGCTGTAAACAAGAGTTGCAAATGTCTCAGCTATTCCTGACATATGACCACCTGCTGCTGCTTTTATCAGATGTAGATGGTGCAAACCAGAACTCATGTTAAGCAAAATTACTAACACTGCACCAGAGAGAATACTGCATTACCTTTACATAGTTTATGTAATTACTGCAAAATGCTATAAAGAGGGGGATGTACTTGTAAATTTATACAGTATATTTAAATTTTTGTTGATTTTTTTTGAAGTACGTCTAAATAGTAAAATATTTTACATTACATTGCATTATGATGGTGCAGTGGTTAGCACTGTCACCTCACAGCAAGAAGGGTCTGGGTTCGAACCTGCTGGCCAGCCAGGGTCTGTGTTGTGGAGCATGTTCTCCCAGTGCCTGCGTGGGTTTCCTCCAGCTTCCTCCCATAGTCCAGAGACATGCAGGTTGGGTTGACTGGTGACTCTAAATGGCCTGTAGGTGTGAGTGGCTGTCTGTCTCTGTGTGTCATCCCTGTGACAGACTGGAGATCTGTCCAGGTGTACACCGCCTCTCGTCCAGTGTCATCTGGGATTGGCTATAGCTTCTGTGATCCTTGCCAGGATAAGTGGTGTAGATAATAGAAGGATATACACTAAATGCAAGAAAAGAATATTTTAAATGTAATGTAATAAATAGCTATCATTCACATGCAAGTACCTGAAGCTACATGGAAATAATAAATCTGTTATTAGACAATAATATTCTCAAAATTAATTTCAGTCAGTAAATGTAAATACAGTAGAAGTGAATATGTGGTTATGTATAAATAGCAGGAAATCAATATAAATACTACTAAAATACATGTAAAAATTAGTACTGTAAGTCCGTAACATGTTCCCAGGTCCATTTTTTTGTGAAGTGTTAAAGTTTCATTGAAGTCTCACTTCTGTGATTCAACATTAATTAGGAGTCTTTAATTAGCTGTTCTGTGTTGTTGCAGCTGTAATGCAGTATACTGAATATCATGTCTGGAGCAACAGAACTTCATCACATGGATCATCTAATGAATTAAACAGCAGCTTATGGGAGAATACATTTAACTGTCCATACTTTAGTAAAGCTGTTGGTTCCTCGACATCCTGTTTTTGTTCCTTAACGATTCCGAGCATCCTCAGTGTTCTCCTCCTCCTCAGTGTGGGGGAGCCATCTGTCATGTCATCAGTCACTTCATGATAACCTGTTGAACGTTATGTTTCACGCTGTCACTGTAGAGGCTATGAAAGGTGAGAAATGCCACCTGAATGTAGCATTGTGTGCATTAAAAATATACATGCTTCATTCTGAATGTGATTTGATTGCTCATGTTCAATATGTATAAAAACCCACTTTTATTTATTTAAAGGTAGGGTTGGCGATTCCTTCCAGAAACATTTGTTACATTTCTTGAAATTCTCTTTTCATCCCAATGGCAATGAATGCATTAAATTCACTGACTGACAACATAAAGAAAAACTCAGTCACCTGTGGCAGCAGCAGGGCTGAAAAATGCATCTCTCTTCGCTGGTCTCCCACTGGAAAAGCCTAAACTTCTAAGGCTAGTTACCGGCTACGAGCCAGGACTAAAGCAGTTTCGCCATGAACCAGAGGTCTCCAGCTACAGTTCAGGGCGGGTAACACCGTGTTTGAGAAAGTTGCCACCAAAAAAAGCTGGATGCTGCAAGAAGTAAAACCAGACTTAACATCGGTGTAGCTTTTAAATGACAGCGACAACTGAGAGAACAAAAGGGGCTGCACAGTGACATTGTAGTGCCCGTGTTCCTGCTGGACAGGGAATTATCGTTTTTGTTTGGGGACATTAGATATTTTCCTGAAATCTGTAAGTAGCAGTCAGGGAGTGCACGTTGTGTCTTGGATGAGTGGCTTTGGAGAGATGTCAGAATGAAAGGGTGGGATTTGTTGGGTTGTCTACTTTCAAAATCGAGCTTCTTTTGCTGGTTTTTCTAGGATTGCCAGCCCTACCTTTAAACCCAATACATCAGCTGAACCCTGAGGTAGCATCTTTAAATCTACATCGCTTAGAGAGAAATACAAACTGTTTAAGTCCACAGCATGTCAACTGTCATGTTTCAGCTTCACATCAGGTGAAGTTAATGTGCTTCGACAGAGAAAGTTTCTGTTTCAGCTCAGTGAAATGATTCACAATTGCAAAACAGTTTTGGACTTTGATATGAGAGTTGGCTACATGACAAAGTTTCTGTTGAATCAGAATTTATTGTCACTCAGGTGGAAGTGATGTGCAGTAGATAACAGAGCTTTCTGTATGTTGTGATGTCAGAGCGGCCGATTCAACAGAGGAAGTGACCAAACTTCGTCCGGTGCGTCTGATCAGGGAAGATGGGGTCATCCGACCGTATGACCTGATGGAGTCCCAGGGGTTCGACCTTTTCCAGGTTTGACACTTGATTGTTTTACTGTGTTTCTGTAATGACATGAAAGAGCACAGGTGTGATCTGTTGCAGCCAGCCTCAGTCAGGTGCCCTGTTTAAAGACCTTACATTGGTCATGCTGTCCTAATGAGCAATAGTAATAGCTTGTGTGGAATTGTATTTACTGCAGTAAAAATATGGCACTGTGATTCAGGATGAAGCCTTCATCAAGGCCTGTGAGACAGGAGTCAGCTGCCTCTTTAATTTCATTTTGTCATAAAACAACTTGCACCTAACTTGTATCCAAACATTCACAAATCAAAATGAAACCAGAAGGAACAACCTCAGTGCGGCACACAAGCACACCTTCCATTAATGCTTCTGTTCTAACCCTTAGTTTCTTCACTTACATCTCCACACTTTAAAACTCAGTGTGTCGCCATTTCTACCATCTTCACAGCTCAGAACTCAAATGGTTTGATAGCAGAAATCTATTTTGGATTTCCTTAGTGCATAATCAGACAGAAGAGAGTTGGGCTCAGTAATTGAGAATCAAGGCATTATTGACTGTGTTGCCCTTTAAGAACTGTTATTTTAATCTACATGTTGGTTTCTGTGGGTTTTTTTTTTTAATCCATCTTGTGGATTCTGGTGCCTGCTTCTAACCCTTTCTTTTTCTTTTTTTGTTTGTGTCACATGCAGCCGGACGAGGAGTAAAAAGGGGTTTTGGTGGATCTACGTTATCATTCTTGTGCTTTGAAATAGTATAAACTACAGTGGGTACGGAAAGTATTCAGACCCCCTTAAATTTTTCACTCTTTGTTATATTGCAGCCATATGCTAAAATCA